CTGTGATTAGAAGTGCAGTGCAAATAAAAGTAACTCTGCCTTGCTTGAGTTTAGAATTATTGCGCTTTGATCTTTTTCAAGGGACATAACTCTGAAACTACAAGACTTTCCTGTGTTCAAAACCTATTCAGGGAGCTTCACCCGGCTCAATCCGGGCTCTTGTTCACTATAAGTTCTTTATTTCTTAAGGTATTTATTTCAAACTTCAAACATTAGTTTCTGGTCATCAACCACATCATATGTCACAAGGTTTTAACTCTAGCACAAAAATTATTAGAATTGACTCCCTTGAACTTTCATGAAAAAATGTTGAAAAAAAAACTTCTTTATTTCTTAATGTATCTTCTTCAAACTTCATATATATGTTTCTTATTATCACTCAAATCATTTGTGAGAAGGTTCATTACTCTAGCAAGACTATTTCCAGAATAATGTCCCCCTTGAACTTAGATTTGTTTCGAGAAATTCATGAATTCCAAAACCTGGCTAAACGCTGCTTTCAGGTACTTTCTGTACATAGCTCTGGGGAATTCACCTACTGGAGTGTAATAGCAAACTCGATGTTTTTTGGCCTCTTTTTCAATTAAATTGAAATAAAACAGTTATTTCTTTATAAGAAAATAATTAAATATCATTGTATGAATAATTCCATACAAAAAATATAGTAAATACACAAGTTTACGCAGAAAATAACCTAATTTATTACAGAAGATGTTACTACATCTTTTTTAATTTTATTGATTTTCATTATAAACAATTTATTTTTTGAAAAATTTGCAATAGATATTAAAGGAATATTGATAATTTTCAAATACATCAATTTTTTCACCTTAAAAGGTAAAATAATGATAGAAAAATAGAAATATCATGTAACTGTGTTATGTACATCATTTGGTGTAATTCCTCAGAGCTCTTCTGTAACATACCGGAAATTGGTGTTAAGCTTAGGTTTTCGAAAAGGTCAATTGGTAGATTTTACTCCAGCTTCTTCATTACTTATAGGATTTACTTCAAACTCTTACATCATAATAAGATGACAAGGTTAATGAATCTAGCATCCTTATTGATATTAGAGTGTCCTTCAGTCTGTCTGGTCATAAAAACTGTTTCCATGTGATCACTTTTAAAGAACTTTTCCAAAAAAATTTCTTAAAAAAGAGAAAAATTGAAACATTAGTGAATGGCCAATGGTCCTTCAGAATGTTGCTAGGGTTCTTACTGGTAGGGGACTTACGGATTGCTTGCAATACTATGATAATTGCTTGTTTTTTAATATGATAATTTTATGATTTTTAGGGTAATATAGATTCTTTGAACCATATGTGCCAAACATGCATTGAAATTTGAGTCAGTAACAAAATCCAGTTTTTAGCCTAAATGCAGCTTTAAATCCAGATTTGGCCTATTTCATTTGTCACATGTATGCATTATGATTGTCATACGGTCAATGAAATATAAGGTAATCATCCAATCAAAAACATAATATTTCAGATCTATTCTAATGTTTATTCATTAATGTTACCAATGTCTTGTTAGTCTGATACAATTTAAGGCCTAATATGATGACAACCCGGAGTATAAGGACTTACATGCATGTATGTAGTTATGTCTCCCCCACCTCGGGGGGAGACATATTGTTTTTGCCCTGTCTGTCCGTCAGTCCGTCCGTCCGTCAGTCCGTCAGTCCGTCCGTCCATTCTTCGTTTCCGGACGATAACTAGAGTTCCTTTTGACCTACAGCCCTCAAACTTCATAGGATGATTGGTCTTATAGAGCTGATGATCCCTATTGTTTTTGGGGTCAGTAGGTCAAAGGTCAAGGTCACACTGACCGTTGGTCAATTTCTCGTTTCCGGATGATAACTAGAGTTCCTTTAGACCTACAGACCTCAAACTTCATAGGATGATTGGTCTTATTGAGCAGATGATCCCTTTTGTTTTTGGGGTCAGTAGTTCAAAGGTCAAGGTCACAGTGACCGTTGGTCAATTTCTCGTTTCCGGATGATAACTAGAGTTCCTTTTGACCTACAGCCCTCAAACTTCATAGGATGATTGGTCTTATAGAGCAGATGATCCCTATTGTTTTTGGGGTCAGTAGGTCAAAGGTCAAGGTCACAGTGACCGTTGGTCAATTTCTCATTTCCGGATGATAACTAGAGTTCCTTTTGACCTACAACCCTCAAACTGGGGGGAGACATATTGTTTTTGCCCTGTCCGTCCGTCCGTCCGTCAGTCCGTCCGTCCATTCTTCGTTTCCGGACGATAACTAGAGTTCCTTTTGACCTACAGCTCTCAAACTTCATAGGATGAATGGTCTTATTGAGCAGATGATCCCTATTGTTTTTGGGGTCAGTAGTTCAAAGGTCAAGGTCACAGTGACCGTTGGTCAATTTCTCGTTTCCGGATGATAACTAGAGTTCCTTTTTGACCTACAGCCCTCAAACTTCATAGGATGATTGGTCTTATAGAGCTGATGATCCCTATTGTTTTTGGGGTCAGTAGGTCAAAGGTCAAGGTCACACTGACCGTTGGTCAATTTCTCGTTTCCGGATGATAACTAGAGTTCCTTTAGACCTACAGACCTCAAACTTCATAGGATGATTGGTCTTATTGAGCAGATGATCCCTTTTGTTTTTGGGGTCAGTAGTTCAAAGGTCAAGGTCACAGTGACCGTTGGTCAATTTCTCGTTTCCGGATGATAACTAGAGTTCCTTTTGACCTACAGCCCTCAAACTTCATAGGATGATTGGTCTTATAGAGCAGATGATCCCTATTGTTTCATTTGTGAAACTATATATGATATGACCATCAAGTGCAATTTCGTTTGACGCCCGCCTGCCATACGCTGATTGAATAACCAGGATTTTCAAAATTGAATACCTGGTTAAAAACAAACAGTTTAGGAAGCATCTTCTCATACAACCTTAACAATAGAAACCATCCATAGACAGCCTTCATTGAAGTGACTACCGGGTATTTACATTATCTTATCTCCATTTCCATTCCTGTTTCCATTCACAGTTATTCTCAGCAGTGGGGGAGACATGCGCTTTTTTACAAAAGCATCCTCTAGTTTATATTATGACTTAAAAGAGAGCATTAACACTTCTTAAAAAGTGGTATGTTTAATAAATCAGAGGAAGCGGTTATTGTTTTAACATACATATTCATGTTAGAGTAACTTAATATTTTTATGTTGGAGATAAACATGTTAGTAGTGTTTATTTTTTGTTAAATTAACTCACTTTAAAAGTTGAACACTATACAAGGGTCGAGTTCATAGTTGTCTTTGGAGGTAAAAAGTGATTTGTTGGTGGCTCTTGTTCAAACATATAATGATGAACTACAAATGGATCACCATCAAAGATTTTATGCTCCCGAAAAATTTCAGGGCAGCATATAGTCTCCGGGTTGTCCGTCCGTCTGTTAGTACGTACGTGTGTATGACGTACGTGTGTACGTACGTACATCCCGAAGTTGTGTCCGGCCCATAACTTTGTTATTTGAAGTTGGATTTTACAACTATTTCACAAAAATGATAACCATATGGAGACAACGTGTCACGCACAACATTTGGGTTGTTACCTTGAACAAAAATCGTGTCCGGCCCATAACTTGGTTATTTGAAGTTGGATTTTACAACTATTTCACAGAAATGATCACCATACTAAGACAATGTGTCCCAAGCAACATTTGGGTCGCTACCTTGAAGGTCACAGCATGACCTTGAAGCAAAATTGTGTCTGGCCCATAACTTCGTTATTTAAAGTCGGATTTTACAACTATTTCACAGAAATGATTACTATATTGAGACGATGTGTCGCGCTTAAAATTTGGGTCGCTACCTTGAAGGTCAAGGTCACAGCATGACCTTGAATAAAAATTGTATCTGGCCCATAACTTGGTTATTTGAAGTTGGATATTACAACAATTTCACAGAAATGATCACTTTATTGAAATGATGTGTCACGCTCAAATTTAGATCGCTACCTTGAAGGTCAAGGTCACATCATGACCTTGCAGCAAAATCGTGTCCGGCCTAAAACTTCCTTATTTGAAGTTGGATTTTACAACTTTTTCACAGGAATGATGACCATATTGAGACGACGTGGTGCGCGCAACATTTGGGTTGCTACATTGAAGGTCACAGCATGACCTTGAAGCAAAATTATGTCTGGCCCATAACTTTGTTATTTGAAGTTGGATTTTACAACTATTTCACAATAATGATCACCATATTGAGATGACGTGTCTTGAGCAAATTTGGGTCGCTACCTTGAAGGTCAAGGTCACAGCATGACTTTGAAGTAAAATTGTGTCCTGCCCATAACTTGGTTATTTGAAGTTGGATTTTACAACTATTTCACAGAAATGATCAACATATTGAGACAATGTTTCGCACACAAGTCGTTAGATATATCTTATTGAGTAGAAGTGCAGTGCAAAGAACAGTAACTCTGCATTGCCTAAGTTTGGAATTATCACACTTTGAACTTTGTCTGGGACATAACTCTGAAACTACAAAAGATATACTTTTCTGTGTCCAAATCCTAGTCCGGGAGCATCACCGGGTTCAACTGGCTCTTGTTTATATAGTTCATACAATATATGTACAAAAATTCAAATCATGCTACGAAATATAAAGCTAAACATCATTATCATGAACTATCAACAATTTACATAGGGATATATGTACGTCACTTCCGGTTTGAGATCACACCTGCATAAACGGTTAGCAATTCTTACATATGTGTGATACCAGACTTTGAAGGGTAATACTAAGGCAATTACCAATGATTTAATGCTCAAATTATGAAAAGTAACTTACTTAAGTTTGTCCTACATGATCAGATATTAAAATTAGTACAAAAATATGATGACCACTCTCCTTTAAAACAGTAGGAGTGACAGGAAAAAAACCTTGGTTTCCCACTACTTGCATTTTATATCAAAGAATCATTTTATAAAACAATTAAGAAACAATTTTTGTTCTTTGTATAGGTATAGCTACCGGTAGAGGAAGGACTACACAGTCTGCCATTAATGCAGTGAGTATTGTTTTCATTTTTGTGTGGCCTGCTACATTACTGAGTAGCAGTAATATATAGGGATCACTTCTCAGATGTCTGTCTGTCCCAGGGATCACGCTAGACCTAAAATTTAGGGAGAAGTGACTTCTCCCTCCAGTGAAAATAGGGAGAAGTTTTTAGGGACAAGGAGAAGTGCATACAAACTGCATTTTTTTTAAGTGTTGATGTTCCATTTCTAAGATTTTAGATTGATTAACATTATGTGGAGTACAAAACAGTTTATTAAGTAACTCATAACAATATACAGCAAAATTACAAATGTGGCAGTTTTTTTTCCTTCTATACCATCTTTATCATAGGTTTTGTGTAGCTTGTTTTGATTTTAATGCTGCAGCCATGTGATGTTGTGCTGAAATTTAAAAAAAATATTTTAATTACACGTATAGGCCCCTAGGCCCTATACATGTATTTCATTATTTTCCCCAGAAATATTCATAGGGAGTGCTGAGTCAAAGTTCATATAAACTTAATAAGGTTTATGTGGATGCTTTTTTTTATTTTATTTATTTATTTATTTTTTAAAGAAAATCTAACGTGTAGCTAGTTGATAATTTTTTTTTCTTCGACGGACTTTTTCTGCACAATGCATTAAATCTATCGGTAAAAAAGTTCTTTTAAAGAATAATAATCAAGGGATAAATCATCACCAACATTTATTTTCAAAATTGCTGAGACAATTGTAAACATCGATACATGTGACCGACACGCTTCGGTATGCCTAAAATACGAAAGTGAGATATTTGACGAAAGTTAGCGAAAGTGACTTTTAAAATTTGAATTGTACCGTTTTAATAGAATTTTACAGTAAAATTGTTATTTGCAGACATATGTTATAAGCAACTTATAATATTTCTTATCAAAATAATCACTATGATGATTTAATCGCCATTTGTTTGCATAATTTCTATACACAAGTTCTGAGATCTTCCTTTCGCTCACTTTGAAAAATACGAAAGTGACTTGTAAAATATTAAATATAGAGTATAAATTGAGATTTATACTAAAATTGCAGTTTGTAGACGTATATTATCAGAAATATATAATATTTATTTTCAAAGTAATCATTATGATGATTTAATCGCCATTTGTTTGCATAATTTCTATTCACAAGTTCTGAGATCTTCCTTTCGTTCACATTGAAAAATACGAAAGTGACTTGTGAAATATGAAATAAAGCGTTGAATTGGAAGTTATACTAATATTGCATTTTTCAGGCGTATATTATAAGAACTTATAAATATTAATTTCTTATCTTATACATTTTCAATTTAAACTCTATATTTAATAGTTTACAAGTCATTTTCGTATTTTTCTATGCAAGCGAAAGGAAGATAACTAAACTTGTATATAGAAATTAGGCTAATAAATGGCGATTAGATCATGATTATGGTTATTTATTATAATATATATAATTAGTTGCTAATAATATACGTCTACAAACAGCAATTTTACTGTAAAATTCTATTAAAACGGTACAATTCAAATTTTAAAAGTCACTTTCGCTTACTTTCGCTCACTTTCGTCAAAAATCTTACTTTCGTATTTTAGGCAAACCCGACACGCTTTTGTACAGAGAAAATGTGTGAATAAGATCACTAAACTTACCGACTAATTAATGCAATAAGTATGCCCCCAATTTATCCTAATTGACATGAATCTCCGCTAATCTGTTTATTTGTTGTTTATTGATAATAAGTCGGCATTTGACAATACCCGAAGATGTCAACCATTCAATTCCAACACTCGCTAAATTGTCTCGCTGCGTTTACCGACCAATGAAAATGCGTTTAACAAATCGCTTTGAAATAGGAGGAGCGTAGACGATTACCGAGGTGCTTGACACTTTAAAATTTATTGCAAATTAGGGCGACTTTGTTTTTGCTTTTCTGAGCGATCCGGGCGAAATGGAGAGAGACAAGGCGACTTTGTCGCCCAAGTGGCCTAGAAACGTGATCCCTGTGTCCATCCCTATATCTCTCCATCTGTCTAAAAAATTGTCCTAACTACTCCTCTAAAACAACTGGTGCATTTCTTATTTCATCCAAATCTTACAGAAATGATTGATTAAAATCATTGACTGCATTTTCCAGTTTTCCATTTTTATGCTCCCCGAAAAATTTCGGGGGAGCATATAGTCTGCGCCTTGTCAGTCTGTCCGTCTGTCTGTCTGTCCGTCCGTTGTCTTGTCTAGAGCATAACTTAAAAACCCTTGGAGATAATATATTTAAACTTCATACAGTGGTAGAGGGCATTGAGGGGGAGTGCAGTGTCAAAGAACCATAACTTTATTTTGCCCGGTTTTTGAATTATCTCCCTTTATAGAAAAATCTTGTCCGGGACATAACTCTAAAACTGTAAGAGATATCAACATAAAAATTTGTAGGTAGATATATATCAATGGGTAGATGTGCAGTGCACAAGAATCATAACTCTGCCATGCCTAATTCTGGAGTTATTGCCATTTGTTTATTTTTACTTTTTGAACTTTGTCTGGGAAATAACTCTAAAATTATAAGATATATCAACATAAAACTTTGTTGGCAAATTGATCTCATTGAGTAAAAGTGCAGTACAAATAAACCATAACTCTGTTTAGCCCAATTTTTTAATTATCTCCCCTTTTTAAAAAATCTTGTTTGGGAAATAACTCTAAAACTACAGGAGATATCAACATGAAACTTTGTAGGTAGATGGATCTCAATGGGTAGATGTGCAGTGCACAAGAACTTGAACTCTGCCTTGGCAAATTTTGCAGTAATTGCCCTTTGTTATACCCAGAAAAACGAAGTTTGGGGGGGTATATAGGAGTCACCCGCTGGTCGGTCTGTCCATCAAGGGGTCCGTTGCATTTTCCTTGTCCGGAGCATAACTTGAAAACTAATGGTTGGAAGTCAATATAACTTCATACAATAGTAAAGCACATTGACAGGAAGTGCAGTGCACAAGAACCATAACTCCATCTTGACTAATTACAGAGTTATTGCCCTTTGTTACTTTTCCTTGTCCGGAGCATAACTTGAAAACTACTGGTTGCAATTCAAAACAAGTTCATACAATTGTCAAGCACAATAAGGGGAAGTGCAGTGCACAAGAACCATAACTCTATCTAAAGTAATTACAGAGTTATTGCCCTTTGTTACTTTTCCATTGCTTTCTTTTGTCCGAACCATAACTTGAAGACTAATGGTTGGAGTTCAATATAACATCATACAATGGTCAAGCACTGTTAGAGGAAGTGCAGTGCACAAGAACCATAACTCCATCTTGACTAAATACAGAGTTACTGCCCTTTGTATCTTTTCCTTGTCCAGAGCATTACTTGAAAACTACAAGTTGGAATTCAAAACAACTTCATACAATTGTCAAGCACAATAAAGGGAAGTGCAGTGCACAAGAACCATAACTCTATCTAAAGTAATTACAGAGTTATTGCCCTTTGTTACTTTTACATTGCTTTTTTTCCGGAGTATAACTTGAAGACAAATGGTTGGAATTCAATATACTTTCATACAATGGTCAAGCACAGTCAGAGGAAGTGCAGTGCACAAGAACCATAACTCCATCTTGACTAATTACAGAGTTATTGCCCTTTGATACTTTTCCTTGTCTGGACCATTACTTGAAAACTACTGTTTGGAATTCAATTCAACTTCATACAGTTGTCAAGCACATTAAGAGGAAGTGCAGTGCATAAGAACCATAACACCATTTTGACAAATTACAAAGTTATTGCCCTTTGATACTTTTCCTTGTCCAGAGCATAACTTAAAACGTACTAGTTGGAATTAAAAAAAACTTCATACAATGATCAAGCACAATAAGAGGAAGTGCAGTGCACAAAAACTATAACTCTGTCCACAGTAATTATAGAGTTATTGCCCTTTGTCACTTTTCCATTGCTTTTTTCTTGTTCAGAGCATAACTTGAAAACTACTAGATGGAATTCAATACTATTTCATACAATGGTCAAGTATATTGAGAGGAAGCACAGTGTACAGAAATCATAACTCTTTCTGGACTCATTTAAAAGTTTTTGCCCTTTGTTACTTTTGATTGTCCAGTGCATAACTTGAAAATTAATGGTTGGAATTCAATGAAACTTTATACAATGGTCAAGGGCAGTGAGATGAAGTGCAATGCACAAGAACCATAACTCTAATTGGAATTATTACAGTTATTACCCTTTATTACTTTTTTGACCTGTGCATAACTTAAAAACTTGTAGTTGGAATTCAATACAACTTCATACAATGGTAAACTGCAATAAGAGGAAGTGCAGTGTACAATAACCATAACTCCATCTTCAGTATTTATATAGTTATTGCCCTTTGTTCCTTTTCCTTGTCTTTCTGGACTTATTAAAGAGTAATTCAATAAAACTGCAGCTAACTTGGAAAATAAGGAAGTAGCGACAATTTTCCGCGTATTTATTGAACAGCCCTCGTAGAGGTCAAAGATTTACATAGTCTGTTATAAGGTATATTTTGTGTCCAGTGCAAAACCTGGTATTTTAAAAATACTTTGCACAAATAGTATAAGATGATATGTCAGGCGCAAAACATGGGTCCCTACCTCTAAGGGCACACTTAAAGGTCAAAGATTGACATAGTCTGTTATAGGGTATATTTTGTGTCTGATCTAACTTCTACATAGTTAAAGGGATTTTGAAAATACTTGGCACAAATAGGAATTATGTCATGCACAACACCTGCACCCCTAACTCCAAGGTCAAGGTCACACTTAGAGGTCAAAGGTTAATATGATAGAATTTTAAATTCCATGTTTCTTTTTACTAGTACAGTGGAACCTGTCTAATCTGAACTTGTCCGGACCAGAAGTAAAGTTCCTATTAGAAAGGTTTCCGGATTAGAAAGGTTTCCGAATTAGAAGGTTTTTTACATGTTTTTTTTTTCATGTTATTTGCAAAATTGTTAAGGAAAGAAAACGGGAATGCATTTGAAATTGCAATTTAGATATTTTATTTTTGCAGTCTCTTATCGTTCATTTTAATACATGTGAATACAAAAATAAAGAAATAAAAATAAGTAAATAAGCAAAAATATGATGTCCTCAAGGGTTAGTTAACCTACGATGTTAAACAGGAGGCCGAGACATCATTAAATATTTATACCCCCGCACAACAAAGTTGTAAGGGGGGTATACTGGAATCAGCTTGTCCGTCCGTCCGGCTGTCCGTCCGAGCAAACATTTAATTATTATGAGCTTCATTCCGTAGTTAAATAAAGAACAAAAACTCATAAAATTCAAATTAAGAGCTATTTTTTTGTTTTTATGAGCTTATTTTGCTTATGGACGTTGGTCCAGGTGGTGTTTATGAGCTGATTTGCCTCATAAACATCAAAAGTTGGTATGTCCGGCCGTCCGTCCGTCGGTTTTTTCTTGTCCGTCCAATAACTGAAGATTCCTTTGACCCTTAGTCTTCATATTTGGCATGGAGGTTAGTCATGATTAGTAGATGACCCCTATTGATTTTGAGGTCACTAGGTCAAAGGTCAAGGTCACAGGGGCCTTGACTTCAAAAAGCTTGTCCGCCAAATAACTTAAGATTCCTTTGACCTACAGTCTTCATATTTGGCATGGATGTTAGTCATGATTAGTAGATGACCCCTATTGATTTTGAGGTCACCAGGTCAAAGGTCAAGGTCACAGGGGCCTTGACTTCAAAAAGCTTGTCCGCCCAATAACTTAAGATTCCTTTGACCTACAGTCGTCATATTTGGCATGGAGGTTAGTCATGATTAGTAGATGACCCCTATTGATTTTGAGGTCACCAGGTCAAAGGTCAAGGTCACAGGGGCCTTGACTTCAAAAAGCTTGTCCGCCCAATAACTTAAGATTCCTTTGACCCACAGTCTTCATATTTGGCATGGAGATTAATCATGATTAGTAGATGACCCCTATTGATTTTGAGGTCAAAGGTCAAGGTCACAGGGGCCTTGACTTCAAAAAGGTTGTCTGCCCAATAACTTAAGATTCCTTTGACCCACAGTCTTCATATTTGGCATGGAGGCTAGTCATGATAAGTAGATGACCCCTATTGATTTTGAGGTCACCAGGTCAAAGGTCAAGGTCACAGGGGCCTTGACTTCAAAAAGCTTGTCCGCCCTATAACTTAAGATTCCTTTGACCCACAGTCTTCATATTTGGCATGGAGACTAGTCATGATTAGTAGATGACCCCTATTGTTTTTGAGGTCACCAGGTCAAAGGTCAAGGTCACAGGGGCCTTGACTTCAAAAAGCTTGTCCGCCCAATAACTTAAGATTCCTTTGACCCACAGTCTTCATATTTGGAATGGAGGTTAGTCATGATTAGTAGATGACCCCTATTGATTTTGAGGTCACCAGGTCAAAGGTCAAGGTCACAGGGACTTTGACTTCAAAAAGTTTATCTGCCCAATAACTTTAGATTCCTTTGACCCACAGTCTTCATATTTGGCATGGATGCTGATCATGATTAGTAGATGACCCCTTTTGATTTTGAGGTCACTGGATCAAAGGTCAAGGTCATAGGGACTTTGACTTCAAAAAGTTTGTCCACCCATTAACTTAAGATTCCTTTGACCCACAGTCTTCATATTTGGCATGGATTTTGATCATGACTATAAGGTGACCCCTATTGATTTTGAGGTCACTGGGTCAAAGGTCAAGGTCACAGGGACCTTGACAAAAAAAAAAGCTTTTCTTCTCAATTGCTAAAGAATGTCCTGTCCGCAATGTATTGATTTTGACATTTTCACATTTGAAGCATGTAGAATACATAACTTAGCAATGCACTGGCTTAGTAACCTCAGATTTGGCAGGGAGGTTGTCCTTGAGCTCTAAATGGCCACTGTTGATTCTGACAAAGTGGTATGCGGGGGTATTCACGCCATGATAGTGGCAGTTCTAGTTGTACCAGCATTTGTCAATTGTTGTATTCAGCGACTATCCGAATTCACTGACAGTTTCCATTAATTTTTATGAAGGTGTGACATTTAGCAAAATCTGTTCGGATCTGAGAGGTAAATTTTAGAGTAAAATAAGAACAAAAATTGAAAAAATTGTCCGGAATTCAGAATAGACAGGTTCCGGATTCGAAAGGATTTTTACTATTGAAAATAACGAATAAAATCGGGACAGGACACTCCGTTCGGATAAGAAAGGATTCCGGATTAGAAGGGTTCGGATTAGCAAGGCTCCACTGTATTTTAATAAATTTATTGTTGCATTTGCAGATCTAGCATTGATCATAATTTTGGACTGAAAGTCCTGAAATTCATACCTCAATCATTTGAAATAGCACTATTTTATGCTTCATATAAAACTTCCCGTTGGTTACAACTCTGTTACATATTCTTGTGTATATAGTAAAAACTTAAAAAATCTTCTTTTAAAAAACCGTCAGAGCTAGAGCTTAAATATTTTATATAATTTAGCATGAAACATCTTCTAATGGGTGTCTATTAAGTTTGTTCAAATAAGGGCCCTGGGGTTAAAATTGACCCCCAACCCTGGGTCATTGATTTTCCTTATATGTGTATAGTAAAAACTTAAAAAATCTTCTTTTAAAGAACTCAAAGAGCTAGAGCTAAGTTATTTAGCATGAAACATGTTCTAATGGGTGTCTACCAAGTATGTTCAAATAAAAGCCCTGGGGTCAAAATTGGCCAGCCGGGGGGTCATTGATTTTCCTTATATGTGTATAGCAAAAACTTAAAAATCTTCTTTGAAAAAACCAAAATAGCTAGAGTTTAGATATTAAGCATGAAACATCTTCTAGTGAGTGTCTACAAAGTTTGTTCAAATAAAAGCCCTGGGGTCAAAACTGGCCCCGCCCCAGGGGTGTCATTTATTAACTATATGTGTATAGTAAAAACTTAAAATCTTCTTTTAAGAAACCCAATGAGCTAGAGCTTAGATGTTTAGCATGAAACATTTTCTTATGGGTGTCTACCAAGTTTGTTCAAATAAAAGCCCTTGGGTTAAAATTGGCCCTGCCGGGGGGTGGGGGATGGAGTTGGGGCACTATATACAGGTGAGCGACTTCAGGGCCATCATGGCCCTCTTGTTTAAATATTTTAAAACCGCCTCCGTGGTCGAGGGGTTAGAGTCAATGACTTCTAATCCAATTACCTCTCTGGCGTGGGTTCGATCCCCGGGAGATGCTTTGGTAGTTTAGCGCGGAGGAAGGTAGTCTAGTACTGGTGTAACTCTCCAGGAACGATGGTTAGGAAACTACCCGCCTATATGACTGAAATACTGTTGGAAAAGGCGTAAAAATGAAATAAACAAACAAACAAACAAGTTTAAATATTTGATGTGTTTCATATTGATTCTTTTCATTTTTTATAGGCAAAAAATAGAGCTGCCCAGCGATTGGTATATATAGATATTCTTGATGGTCATACTCGTAAGTATTGCTTAATTTTAGGGCCATATTCATGTTTTGCAACATGCCTTTATGTCATTAACTCTGCATCCCATCTTTAGCTTTACCAGTTACAAAACCATAGTCAAGTGAACCAATATAGTATCCTCTTGAGTAACATAAAAGACAAAAAAAAATATACAGTGTAACTTTCAAAAACTGAACACCTGTCGGACTTGCCAAAAAGTTCGGAATTCAGAAGTGGTACAAGTAGAAACATTAGACATCAATTTATAAGTAGGACATTCATTATTACCTATAACAGAGCTCGTTCATACACTAGTTTTTCACACTTTAATCAAGTGTTTCAAAAACTGAACACCTGTCGGACTTGCCAAAAAGTTCGGAATTCAGAAGTGGTACAAGTAGAAACATTAGACATCAATTTATAAGTAGGACATTCATTATTACCTATAACAGAGCTCGTTCATACAAAAGGAAAATGTTAATAATTTAGTATATTTCACATAGTACCAGCTATTAACCAGTATTTTTTTCCCCTCAAATTATACTTCTCAGTTACTAGTTTTTCACACTTTAATCAAGTGTTTGACATGGTTTTATTATGCTCCCCGAAAAATTTCGGGGGAGCATATAGTCGGCGCCTTGTCCGTCTGTCTGTCCGTCCGTTGTCTTGTCCGGAGCATAACTTGAAAACCCTTGGAGATAATTTGTTGAAACTTCATACAGTGGTAGAGGGCATTGAGGGGGAGTGCAGTGTCAAAGAACCATAACTCTATTTTGCCCGGTTTTTGGCTTATCTCCCCTTATAGAAAAATCTTGTCCGGGGCATAACTCCAAAACTATAAGAGATATCAACATGAAACTTTGTAGGTGAATAGATCTCAATGGGTAGATGTGCAGTGCATAAGAACAATTACTCTTGTTGTCCTAATTTTGGAGTTATTGCCCTTTGTTAATTTTAACACTTTGAACTTTGTCCGGAACATAACTCTAAAACTATAAGAGATATCAAGATGAAACGTTGCAGGTAGATAGATCTCATTGAGTAGAGGTGCAGTGCAAAAGAACCATAACTCTGTTAAGCCTCATTTTTGAATTATCTTCCCTTTTAGAAAAATCTTGTCCAGGACATAGCTGTAAAACTATAAGAGATATCAACATGAAACTTTGTAGGTAAATAGATCTCAATGGGTAGATGTGCAGTGCATAAGAACAATAACTCTTTTTGTCCTAATTTTGGAGTTATTGCCCTTTGTTAATTTTAACACTTTGAACTTTGTCCGGAACATAACTCTAAAACTATAAGAGATATCAAGATGAAACATTGTAGGTAGATAGATCTTATTGAGTAGAGGTGCAGTGCAAAAGAACCATAACTCTGTTAAACCTTATTTTTGAATTATCTCCCCTTTTAGAAAAACCATGTCCAGGACATAGCTGTAAAACTATAGGAGATATCAACATGAAACTTTGTAGGTATATATATCTTAATAGGTAGATGTGCAGTGCACAAGAATCATAACTCTGCCTTGCCTAATTCTGGAGTTATTTCCCTTTGTTTATTTTTACTTTTTTGAAGTTGTCCGAGACATAACTCGGAAATCATAAGAGATATCATCAAGAAACTTTGTAGGTTGATAGATCACATTGATTAGAAGTGCAATGCAAAGAACAGTAACTCTGCCTAATTTTGGAATTATTGCACTTTGACCTTTTTACAGGGACATAACTCTGAAACTACAAGAGGTGTACTTTCCTGTGTCCAAAACCTATTCGGGGAGCATCACCCTGCTCAAACCGGGCTCTTGTTTTAATAGGTGTCAAGATGTATTATGCCCCCCTTCAAATTATAGCCCTGGGGTCAAAATTGGCCCCGCCCTGAGGGTCATTGATTTTAACTATATGTACATAGAGTAAAAACTTAAAATACCTTCTTGTCTAGAGGTACAAGGCTTAGAGGTTTGATATTTGGTATAAATTATCATCTATAGGTACTCTTCCAAAGTTGTTCAAATTTTGCCTCTAGTGTCAAAATTAGCCCCGCCCCGGGGGCCATAGGTTTTCCTTATATGTATAATATAGTAAAAACTTTAAAAAAAATTATCTTCCTGAAACTCAGACAAATGCTAGAGGTTAGATATTTTGCATGAAACATTGTGTAGTGAACCGCTACCAAGATTGTTCAAATTATAGCCCTGGGGTCAAAATTGGCCCGCGGCCTAGGGGTCATTGATTGTCATTATGTACATAATTAAAAAATAGAAAAAATCTTATTGTCTGAATGTACAAGGCATAGAGCTTTGATGTTTGCTATATAATATCATCTATAGGACCTCTACCAAAGTTGTTCAAATTTTTCCCCTGGTGTCAAAATTGGCCCTGCCCGGGGGCATTGATTCTCATTATATACACAGTAAAAACAGAAACTAAAACATATGTTTTCTGAATTGGAGACAGCTACAGCTTAAATATTTTACCTAAAACGTTGTTTGGTGGACCTGTATCAAAATTGTTTTGAGACAGTGACCTACTTTCTTGTCCTTTGATGTACAGCAATGAAATTTTGACCATGTGCACAGTTTTAGTTGTAAAATTGAACTTTGATATCAGGGGACCTAGATTTTGATGATGTGACCTACTTTCTTGTCCTTTGATGTACAGCTATGAAATTTGAACCATGTGCACAGATTAAAATATAAAGTGAACTTTGATATCAGCTGACCTACATTGTGTCTTACTGTGTTGTCCTTTGATGTACAGTCTGTGTGAAATATGACCTTCACCACCAAATTCACTAGACTCAACTGCATTGATATATTCATACTCTGATCTTTCATTTGAATAACAATGAATAGATTTAACCACTAATCTGATGATAAGAATTAGATAGGTCAGGGATCTATGCATTATGACAATCTTCAATTATATAGAAACAAAAAAAATCTGTTCCTACACTACTATTTAGTGTTGTATTAATGCAGTGGCATAGCATTTTTCACAAATGCAATGTTGTTTGTTCACTAGGTCAAAACTCATCACATGACTAACTGGCTGAAGATACGGAGCATACATGTTTTACAAACATATCTTGTTTTACGCTCATTAAAATATGGTTTTACAATCTCATTTAAAATATTCTTTGACAATTTTACCAATTTCGGGATTTTGGAAGTAAATTTAAATTGATATAACCCAAATTTTACCAGAAAATTGTTCGAAATTTAGAAATTCTGTAATTCAGAGGTATCTATTGGGACCCTGAAAAATGTTTAGATTTTAGAAGTTTAGGGATTTCAAAGTTCCCGAATTTGGAAGTTACACTGTAAACTTGTAAAATGATGCTGAAGTAAGTGTTAAGGAGTATTGGTGGAATCAGTAGCAATTTGTTCATCAATAAATGTATACTCTTATTATATTGATATTTTATCTCATTATGTCTCCCAAAATTTTTTGGAGACATATTGTTTTTGCCTCCGCCATCTGTCTGTCCTTCTCTCCGGTCGTCTGGTCATCCATCCGTCTGCATTAAGCTTGTCTGGCCTTCACAGGTCAAACTACTGGTGACGTTTCAACCAAAATTTACATTAGTGATGATTAGACCATCCATAGTTGTGCACATGACCGGCATGTTCCGCTTTGCTGAACAAAATGGTGCCAGAGCAAAAAATATAAAAATCTTGTCCGGCCTTCACAGGTCAAACTACTGGTGGGATTTCAACCAAAATTTACAGGAGAATCAAACACATCACTTGTTGTGCACATCACAGGCACGTTCTGCTTCGCTGCACAAAATGGCCCCCAGAGCTAAAAAAAGAAAAATCTTGTCCAGCCTTCACAGGTCAAACTACTGGTGGGATTTCAACCAAACTTTACAGGAGTGATTGGTACCATCCATAGTTGTGCACATCATGGGCACATTACTCTTTGCTGAACAAAATGGCCGCCAGAGCTAAAAAATATAAAAATCTTGTCCAGCCTTCATAGGTCAAACTACTGGTGGGATTTCAACCAAACTTTACAGGAGAAATCAAAACCATCACTGGATGTGCACATCACGGGCACATTCTGCTTCGCTGCTCAAAATGGCCGCCAGAGCTAAAAATAGAAAAAAAAATTCCGGCCTTCACAGGTCAAACTAAAGGTTGGATTTCAAACCAAACTTTACAGGAGTGATCAGTACCATCCCTAGTTGTGTAGAATACTGGCATGTTCCACTTCACTGCACAAAATGGCTCTCAGAGTTATAAATAGAAAAATCTTGTCCAGCTTTCACAGGTCAAGCTACTAGTGGGATTTCAATTACACTTCACATGAGTGACCATACATAGTTTTGGGAGACATATGTTTTTGTGACAAAAACCCTTCTAGTTACAATTATGATACTTCTACCCATTTGCCTGATTGTGCCTAAATAATCCAAGATTACCTTAGTTTTGTCAATAAGACTTAACTTAAGGGGTGAGTATATAGTTGCCACTTTGTCCGTCCTTCTGTAACACTTTCCTGTCCGCTCCAAAACTTTAAATCGCTGAAATTTTTTTAAATAACTTGGCACAACTGATCACCATAATAAGATGATGTGCAAAGTGCAAAAATTGGGTTGCTACCCCCAAGGTCAAGGTCACACTTAAAGGTCAAATGTTAAAAAGTCTTCATTTCATATAAATAGTCTACATTTCCTGTCCGCTTTATAACTTTTTAACCGCTGAAATTTTTTAAAAGTAACTTTTAACAACTGATCACCATTATAAGAACATGTGCAAATGGCAATAATTGAATTGCTACCTCCAAAGTCAAGGTTACACTTAAAGGTCAAATGTTAGAAAGTCTACATTTCGTGTCTGTCCATAACATTCAAACTGCTGCAATGTTTTTATGATAACTTGGCAGAAATGATCACCATTATGACACCATTGACAGAGCACAATAATCAAGTCACAACCCTGAAGGTCAGGGTCACACTCAAAGGTCCGATGTAAAAACACCTATTCATGTCATGTCAGCTCTATAACTTATTGACAATTCAAAGGTTTTAGAATTACTTGGCACAAATGATCCCCACCATGACACAATCTGCAAAGCTCAACACCCAAGGTCAAGGTTATATGTTCTCCATATATTTTTGACTTTATGGAAGATTTTAAATAACTTGGTACAAATAATTACCATCGTGAGACTATGTGCTTATGATATGCATGACACAACATTAAGGTCATGGTTGGTAAAAGGTGAAGAAGTACACATTCATGTTCAGTGCGGAAGGGGATTTAGCTGTCCTTCAGACTGCCTTGTTACACTTTGAATTTTACCTGGGACATAACTTTGAAACTATAAGAGATATCATCATGAAACTTTATAGATAGATAGATCTCATTGAATGGAAATGCAGTGTCTCATTGAATGGAAATGCAGTGCAAAAAAAACATAACTCTGCCTTGCCCAATTATGGAGCTTTTGCCCTTTGTTCATTTTTTTTATACTTACCTGTGTCCAAAACCTTCTCGGGGAGCATCAGCTGGTTCTTGTTAAGTGATTTCTGAGATTTGACACAAATAATTATGTGTCCCAATTTTTTTGGAGACAAATTGTTTTTTGCCTTTGCTGTCTGTCTGTCCCTCGTCCGTCCGTCTGTCCATATTAAGCTTGTCTGCTCTTCACAGGTCGAACTACTGGTGGGATTTCAGCCAGACTTTACAGGACTGATCAGTACCATTGCTAGTAGTGCACATCACGGTCATGTTCCATTTAGCTGCACAAAATGGCCGCCTGAGTGCTAAAAATAGAATATTCTTATCTGGCCTTCATAGGTCAAACTACTGGTGGGATTACCAGAAGTAAACAGTACCATCAGAAGTTGTGGAAATTACCGGCACATTTCGCTTTGTTGCACAAAATGGCCGCCATAGCTAGAAATAGAAAAATTGTGTCCATCTTCACAGGTCAAACTACTGGTGGAATTCAATCAAACTTTACAGAAGTGATCAGTACCATCAGTAGTTGTGGAAATTACAGGCACGTTTAGCTTTGTTGCACAAAATGGCCACCAGAGCTAAAAATAGAAAAATCTCGTCCATCCTTCACAGGTCAAACTACTGGTGGAATTTCAACCAAACTTTACAGAAGTGATCAGTACCATCAGTACTTGTGGAAATTACCGGCACATTCCGCTTTGTTGCACAAAATGGCCGCCAGAGCTAAAAATAGAAAAATCTCGTTCACCCTTCACAAACTTTACAGGAGTGTTCAGTATCATCCCTTGTGGTGCACATCACCCCCACTTTCCACTTTGCTGCACATAATGTCTGCCAGAGTTTAAAATAGAATATTCTTGTCTGGCCTGCACAGGTTAAACTACTGGTGGGATTTCAACAAACATGTTCTTGTTAGTAATGCCTTTAGGGTACCAAGTGATTCTGGAGAGAGGCAATGATGCAGCCTGGTGAACAAAATGACAAACCTTTATTGACCCCATTTCTGGCTTTATTAACCTTTTCTGGCAATGTATCTCAGGTATGTGATCCAGGGCCATCATGGTTTTAAAAGCCTAATGAATTTTAATTACTGCTTTGAATACTTTGTCTTGTTTAAAATCAGAATTTTTTTTTCACAGCTTTGCATAATTTTGCAAACACATATCATAAAACATCTGTAATAGTACACCAAGCACCTAAAGGTAAGTTGATAAGTCATTATTTTACTGTTTTGTGTTAAATTTATTTGTCATGACTGCCTGTTGATGTTAAATAAGATGAAAATAATCCAACCTACAGTAATATAATTTTGCACAGATTTACAGACAGCAATAGACATTTTGTTCAAATAGCACACAAAAAGAGATTGTGTTTAAAGGCTTTAGCTTAAAATAATTTTAGTTGAATTTTAAAGGTGATTTCTTAGATATATGTTTTAGAGTTGAAATTATGAAACAGGCTCATGTATCTCCATTTGTTATTCATGTTGAAAATGAAATTGATATTAATAATGTAATCAGTTAATGGTTTTAGCAATATTTTATATATTATAAAAAATAGATAACAATATTTGATTTGGAATAAAATATGCTTATGATATTAATGGTATATGGAAGTAAATGGAGAGGTGTCCTACTCACCACCAGCATCGGCATAAATGATGGCGTCAGATTTCAGATTAAAGTTTTGAAGCAGTAAAAATATTTTTTTCGAATTGCTTTTTATACACCCTTTTGAAAAACGGGTCTTATTATAGGAACACCCCTGGCTTGTTGACGTGCAGGCAGCATCCCATTTTGTCCAGAACATATCTCCTACATGTATGGAATAATTTTAAAGAAACTTCATAGAAATGTTCACCACTATGTGAAGCTGTGTCGTGTGCATGAAGCAGTTGTCTAGGCCAAAGGTCAAGTTCACACTTGAAAGTCATTGAAAAATGCTTGTCCAGAGAAAAACTTCTACATGCATAGAGGGATTTCAATATAACTTCGCACAAATGTCTTAATGTTCACCATTTTGAGGCATAGTGCAGCATGCAAAATTCAGGTCCTTGCGGCCAAGGTCAAGGTCACACATAGTGGTCAAAGTCCAAATAAAAAATATGAAATGTGTATTTGAACCATTAAGTTATCATTTAGTGAGGGATTGAAGCTCAAATGGTCATTATTGTGACTATGTGAATTATGTAATTTAGGTTAATATAATATCATGCAAGGTCAAGGTTATTAAAGATGATTATAATATGGAAATTTGTCCAGAGAATTTCTCCTACATGCATGGAAGGATTTTAATGAAACTTCATAAAAATGTTCATCACTATGAAAAGCTGTGTTGTGTAAATGAATCTGAGGTCTCTAGGTCAAAGGACAAGGTCACTCTTAGAAGTCATGATAGCTAAGTATTACACACATAATTCAGGTTCCTTCTAGTAATGTCAAGATCACATAGGTCAAGATAAAACAGAAGATGTGAACAGGAACCATTTAGTCATCATTTGAGGGATTGTAACACAAATGATAACTATCATGGCTACAAGTGTGACACATGTAATTTAGGCTAATATTTGCAAGGTCAAGGTCACAAAGATGATCAAATATCCAGATATTTTCAGGATATTTCTTAGAGCATATCTGCTATGTGCATATCTATAATACTTACATTTCTGTCAAAAATATTGCCCTTGTGTACCCCCATAGGTTTGTCTTCCTTTACTGGGTTTAATAAGTCGAGCGATGCTGTCTGCTCTGACAGCTCTTGTTAGTCTGCTTTGTGCAATTAAACAGCACTTAAGTGTCAGGGTCATAGTCTTCACTTAGAATGACACAGGGCTTGAATGCACAATCCTTTGTTTGAGTTGGAGACACCATAACCACAAGACCACTGTTCCCTTTCTGCAGCATAATTTTATATTGAATGATTTTAGGTTTTGGTCTAAGATGTCATCCAGCATTAAGGATAATTTGCCGGCTGATTGGTATCAAGGATGTACATATTAAATCTGAAGGCTGTGTTAGAAACTATCTTAATCTCTCCAGGGCATTAATGATGGGCATAATAGAAACGGTATGCATTGACTTTTGTGTCAGCTTTACAGAGTAGCAGTGACATATAGGGATCACTTTTCCTTTGTCTGTCTGTCCATCTGTCTGTCTGCCTTTAATAAACAAGAGCAATCAGTGATCTCATGGGTTTCCTCATGATAGCCAATTGAATGTTGCAGCTACTGGGTATCAGGAGGAACCGAAATCATTAAACTGAAGCTATGCCTGTCCAAGGGTATATAGTGAGAGAACAGGTGAAATTCAAAATGAGTTTACATATTGCGATAATTCCTTTCAAATTTTAGCTCACCAGAACTGAAGGTTCAGTGTGAGCTATTGGTATCAAAAAGGGATGCTCTGGCGTCCTTTGTCATGTGTCAACATTTTTCTTCTTTCCTTAAACCGCTGGACAGATTTACTTTACTCAGTCAAACCTAAATTTGCTCATGTCAACCCTTTTAGGGTTCAAGAGAGCTAAAAATAGAAAAACCTTGAAACGTCGTCTTCTATTGAACAAATTGATGGATGTTTACCAAACTTTGCCTGTAGCATTCTTAGGTAGCCTTTTATGAAATTTGCTCATATTAATTTGATTGGTCCCTTTAAGGGTATCAAGAGAGCTAAAATTAGGAAAAAACCAACATTTAAACATCTTCTTCTACTAAAGCTATTGATGGGATGATCACCAAACTTTGTCTGTAGCAATCTTAGTTAGTCCTTCATCGAATTTGCTCACATTAATTTGATTGCCCCCTTTTAGGGGCTTCTAGAGCTAAAAATAGGGAAAAAAAAACATTTTCTTCTACTGAAGTAATTAATAGATGATCACCAAACTCTGTCTGAAGCAATCTTAGTCTTTATTGAATTTGCTCATATTAATTTGATTGGCCCCTTTTAGGCGCCTTTAGAGCTAAAAATAGAAAATAAACCTTTAAACATCCTACTGAAGTAATTAATGAATGATCACCAAACTTTGTCTATAGCATTCTTAGGTAGTCTTTTATCAAATTTGCTCATATTAATTTGATTGGCTCCTTTTAGAGGCCTCTAGAGCTTAAAATAGAAACCTTTAAACATCCTACTGAAGAAATTAATGGATGATCACCAAACTTTGTCTGTAGCATTCTTAGGTAGTCTTTTACCAAGTTTGCTTATTGCACTAAAGCTAAAGTGCCACAGGCCATGGCCTTTCTTCAAATTATAGTTGAATAAAGAAAAGGCAACAACTCATGATGGAATGTGTACATGTAATGCATTTTTCTAAAATAAAAGATTCAATAGCTGGGAGAAAGTCCTAATGCCATGACATGTTTGCTTAAGAAATAATTTGAGGTCATGTGCTTTGTATCTGAAAATTATATCTGCACATTGTCTTTCATTTGACATGTTAAAATAAGACATCACTAGACACTACTGCACTAACATGTCTCGGTATAAATTTGCAATAGCGAAACACTAGAATAAAAAGAGCTTTTAAAATTTAATCTGCAAAAATTTAGAAAACAATAAATTACTGCCAAATAACTAAACCTGAATCAAATAAACTATAATTCTAATAGAAAATAGTATTTTACGAAATAGCAAAAATTTATGAAACAAAATCACTAGAAAATTAAATTTACCTTGTACAAGCTGTAATTTTATGACAAATATAATTTGTCTGTCACCGTCATAGTGACCTGTTTAACGTCCAGTGCATTGCAATATATCACTTAAAATTTAGTCATTATATATCAAACTACTGAGTGCTGAGCGGGAAAACGGATCGTGCAAAACATGAAAAATCGATTTGCCCGAAATAAAGCTGGGACGGCGGGAAAAATAGTTATGTAAAATAAAGGCTCGTCCTTTAAATACAGACATAATACATATATCTGGTTCATAAAACAAAAATGTAACTTTCTTATTACTGAAAGGATTTTTGTGAAATAAACGGCAAGATGTTTAAATTGAGACATGGAAATTTATGCAAACCATAAAAATACTCTAAATAATAATTTCACCCGAAAACTCTAAATTGAACAAAAGATGATGCAATCTCACATCAATGAATATAGAGTAAAAATGAGGTTCGGCGTGAAAATATAATGCAAGATTTTACAAACATACTTTCACTTTGTGACAATGGCAAAGTTCAATTTAAGTTAAACAGTTTCTGATCTATAACTAAAGCTTAGGCCTAGGAACTTCAAACTTGGTATGATTATTGTTCATGACCAGTAGATGGCCCAAAAATTGATTTTTTGGTCAAGGGGTCAAAGGTCAAGGTCACATTGACCTTGTAGGTAAAAATGGTTTCTGATTAATAACTAAAGAATGCTAAGCCTAGGAATTTCCAACTTAGTATGATGATTGTTCATGACCTGTAGATGTCCCCTATTGACTTTTGGGTCAAGGGGTGAAAGGTCAAGGTCACATTGGCATTATAGGTGAAAACGGTTTCGGATCAATAACTAAAGAAGGCATAAGCCTAGGAACTTCAATCTTGGTATGATGATTGCTCATTACCAGTAGATAACACCTATTGATTTTGTGGTCAAGGCGTCACAGGTTAAGGTCTCATTGACCTTGCAAGTAAAAACCGTTTGTGATCAATAACAAAAGAACACTTAGGCCTAGGGTCTTCAAACTTGGTATGATGATTGCTCATGACCAGTATATGGTGCAGATTGATATTGGGGTCAAGGGTCAAAGGTGAAGGTCACATGGACCTTGTTAGTAGAAAAAGGGTTTCCGATTAATAACTAAAAAATGCTTAGGAATGCTTAGGCCTAGGAACTTCAAACTTTGTATGATGATGGGTGCAAGTATTCAGGCATATGCCTGAAGCTCTGGTTTTTTTTGTGACAAATTTCATCATGTTTTAATACAGTTGACTCTCGTTATCTCGAAGTCATCGGGACCGTCCAAAAAAATATCGAGATAACGAAATGTCAAGATAAACATATTAGGGTTTGAATAAGGCAGAAACTGATTTTTACAAAAGACATATGCATACCTAATGTCAAATAAACTATGATATCCCCATGTCTTGTTTTCATAGGCCTAGTCAATATTTACCAAAGTAACATTAGCGGATGTTTACCAGTGGAAATATGGGTGTCTGTGATAAAAACACATAGTGAGCTTTACTCAGTAATACACCAATATAGTGAAAACATTGTTTTCAGGGTGGTTGATCCGAATATCCTCCAGGGTTATTTATCGGGTCTTTCTCGAGATAGTTCAACCGCTTATTGATTTGGTGGTGATGTTTTGAAACAATATTGCAAAGATAGCATTTCTATACTTTCACTATTTCATTTACATTTAAAGTCATTATGAATGGATACAGTGTTCGAATATTCATAAAGAACGTAAAATTCACTCATTTTGGAAATAAGTCAATCAACACGCTAAATAGATTAACTTTTATAAAAATAGCTAAACATGTTACAAACATAATCATCATTATGACACGCGCTATTGAGCAATTATCATCTATTTTGTGTTTTTAACACGTCTGAAGGGAACAGATGAAAGAAAACTATTAGTCGAGATAAACAAAGGATAATAGTGTGAAAATAACTGTTGGGCTGAAATTTTACATCGAGATACTGAAAATATCGAAATAAAAATATCGAGATAAACAAATATTTCCAATATAGATAAAGAAGGAAGAAAATCGGGACTTTCAAAATTTCATTGTGATAACGAAATATCGAGAAAAGCGATGTCGAGATAACGATATTTGACTGTATAAGATTATGTAGGATTACAGTTTTCAGGGTTATCCAAATTTTCAACTTACTCCCATGAAAATGGTTTCCGAGCAATAACTTGACAACATATGCGCTGTTAGCTCTCAAACATTGAAGGTGCATCGGTCTTGGCAAGTAGATGACCCCTATTGATTTTGAGGTCAAGGGGTCAAATGGTAAAATTCATATTGACCTTGTAGGAAAAAACAGTCTCCAATCAACTGGACAAGCCATGGACCCTTGACCTTCAAACTTCACAGATGCATTGCTTTTGGTCAGAAGATGACCTCAATAAATTTTTGGGAGTTCAGAGGTCAAGATCACTTTGACCTTATAGGTAAAGACGCATTCTGATCAATATGTCAACCACACATGGGACTTTTAACTTCAAACTTCACAGGTGCATTAGTCTGTGCCAGTAGATAACCCCAATTGATATAAGGGTCAAAGGTCAAAGTCACATTGACCTTGTACGGTTTCCGACTCAACAACTCATTTTTGCCTTGGTCGATTTTTGTGCCCCTATGGGGGGAGGGGGGGGCATTTAGATTTACCCTTGTCCTTCCGTCCATTCTCTTTTTGTGTCGCAGGTACCTCAAACATTAATTGACATAGAGTCATGAAACCATACAGGAATGTTGATCAGCATGTGAAGTTGTGCACCTAGGTATTTTCATGTGGATATATTTAGTATTTTTAGAGTTAATGCCCCTATTTTAGTAAAAATTTGCAATTTTCAACTTGTGTCGCACGTAACTCAAAAAGTATTTGACCTAGAGTTATGAAACATCACTGGAATGTTGATCATCATGTGTAGTTGTGCACCTGGGTATTTTTGTGTAGATATATTTAGTATTTTTAGAGTCGTTGCCCTTGAATTAGTAAAAAATTTCCAATTTTCAACTTGTGTCGCACATTACTAAAAAAGTATTTGACCTAGAGTCATAAAAACTTACAAGAATGTTGCTCAGCATGTGTAGTTGTGCACCTGGGTATTTTAGTGTTTTTAGAGTTATTGCCCTTGACTTAGTAAAAATTTGCAATTTTCAACTTGTATCGCACGTAACTCAAAAAATATTTGACCTAGAGTCATAAAACCTTACAGAAATGTTGATCAGCATGTGTAGTTGTGCACCTGGGTATTTTTTGTGGATATATTTAGTATTTTTAGAGTTATTGCCCTTGAATTAGTAAAAGTTTCCAATTTTCAACTTGTGTCACACATAACTAAAAAAGTATTTGACCTAGATTCATGAAACCTTACAGGAATGTTGCTAAGCAT